TATTAAAGTAAGTTAAGCATTATTATTATTCTTATATTATTATTATTATTATAAAAGAATATTATATATTAATATCTCCCCTTAAGGTATATATAGCTAATTTATAGTATATAGCTTACTCACTTAATATATATATACNCCCCTTAAGGTATATATAGCTAATTTATAGTATATAGCTTACTCACTTAACATATATATATGTTATAGGTATAAAAAACTTAAAAACCTTATAAGAAAAATAAGAAAAATATTCCTATAATATATATAATATGTTTATAACTAGTTAAAAAACTCTTATTAAAGAACCTTATAGGTAAAAAGGTAAGAGAAAAACTAGTAAGTTATTTCTTTAATACAGTTATTATTATTATTATTGTTATTATTATTATTATTATTGTTATTATTATTATTATTATTATTATTATTATTAATTATATTTATTANCTATAATTATTCTAAGAGCTTAATAGTATAATAATTTTAGTTTAAGTAATTAGATAATACTATAAAATATTTATCTATATTTATATATTTTATAAGAATATAGAATATTAAGTATTTAGAATTTAAAATAGTAGATAAAGGCTATATATTAGAAGTGTTTTAAATTAGAAGCTAAAGTAAAATATATTTACTATTTATTATTTAGGTTTATTCTCTCTTTATAATAACCTCTTTATTTTATAAGTTACACCTACTTTATATCTATTTTTACTCCTTTCCTTTATTTAGTATACTTACCTCTTTATATTATACCTTCTTAGTTAGTAAACCTCTTTATATTATTTAAATATAATCTTTCCTCTATATTTAATTAAAACCTCTTATTAATAATAATATTATTAATATCACTATAACCTATTTATATATAACTAAATACTAATAATAAACCTTTTACTTTTAAGAACTTAATTAAAGATATCTTCTAATAAGTAAATATTAGGTTAGTACCTATAATATTATTATAATAATCTATAAAGTTATTATAATAATCTTTTTTATAGGTTACTTAATTAGGTCTAAAGCTAATAAGAAAAGAAAGGTAGCTATAAACTATTCTACTAACCCCTATACTATTAAAGTATAAAAGCGCCTTACTAATATATTAAATACCTAAAAAGAGCTTATTTACTAGAATAAAGTACTATAAACTATATTAACTTATAAGTATATAAAGATACTAAAGAAGATTAATAAGTAGAAGTTTATAACTAAAAAATAGTAGAAAGCTATTTTTAAACTATTTAAAGCTATAGTTTATAAGAAATAGTAAGGTATTTTCTTTATATTTTTTTAATTAATTCTAATTTAAAATCAGAATAGATAAACGAAGATATCTATTTTAGTTTAATATAGAAATATATAAACTATATCTACTAGTATTATTATCTACCTCTTTTAGACTTATAAGTTAGTCTTAAGGAGCTATTAGCCTAATTACTATACTAAATATTTCTATAATATAATTAGCTTTTAGTAGCTTTAATCTAATATTATTTTCTCTTTTACTTAGATTCCCTTTATTTTCTATAATATTTATTAATATAAACCTATTAACTTTAAGTTCTACTTCTTAATATTCTTAACTTTAAGCTTTAACTTCCTTAAATACTTAATATTACTAATTAGATATCTATATATATAATATTAATATAAATCTAAATAGTTACTTAATAGAAGATATAATAATAGATATAATATTATTTAATAAGTATATAGTAAAGATTATTACTAAATTAATAGTAATACCTAATTTTAATATATAGATACTCTATATATATTTTCTAATCCTTTTCTCTAAAATAAATACTTACTATTTATAAAATACTATAATTTAAAGTTTTTTAGTCTTCTAATTAAACTAAATTAATACCTTTAAAGTATTATATTAGAAACTATTAGTATTTTATAAATTTCTAAAAAGTACTCTTAAGGTTTTCACTAAAGTAGGTATTATAAAACTTAAAGTAAAGTTTCTATAAGTCTAAGATTTCTTTATTATTAAAGAAATCTTCTTTATCTATATCCTTTAGAAGTTTTAGAATAAAGATATTAGAAGAGCTAAGCTTTAGAACTTTAAGAGTTTATCTTTAGTTTACTATACTATCTAATAAGATATAATTTACTCTATATTAATTTCTAGCTAATATATAAAAAGATTTATAATACTATCTATAATATCACTAAGTTACTTCTAGGAATTACTATAATTAATAATACCTATACTTATTAATACCTATATAATATTTTAATATATAAATAGATTTAAGACGTTATTAGTATAACTTAGTATAGTAGAAAAATAAACTAAATAGACTTCTTTAGTCCTATTAAAATCTAATCTAATATTAAGTAAATCTTAGCTAAAAGTATAGAGATACTTAATATAATTTAGTAATACTATAAATAGAAGCTAGCCTTAATTCTAATCTAAATAGAGATACTAGTAATTTAAGATATATACCCTTAGGTATAAGTAAAGTTTAATACTAATATACTTAATAAGTTTATAACTTTTAATTTCCTTCTTTCTAATAGAAAGGATATTAAGTTTATAAATAAAGATAATAATAGAGATAAAAAAGAGAGAGATTTATAGTAAGAGGATATTAAGATATCTAAGTAAATATTACTATATAATAAAATAGATTTAGTTTATAGTATTAAGAAACTAAGCTTTTTAGAATTAAATAATAGAGTTTAAGTATATTTAAGATTTTCTTATCTATAATAATAAACTATTATAGTTAGTTACAAAAATATATTATATTAATATATAGTAATAATCTATTATAATAATCTATTATAATAACCTAATATAGAAACCTATTAAAATTATTAGCTTTAATTATATACTATAATTATATATAAAAAAATACTAAGTATAAACCTTTAACTCTTAAGTTTATATCTAAGTTTCTTAGGAACCTATATATCTAATAAGCTACTTAACTAAGTTAATATCTTTCTTTTAAAGTATAATATATTTTATATAAATAGTATAAAGATTTATACCTATTTATATTAGTAGAAACTTTTATATCTAAAGACTAATATATACTTTTAAAAATAATAATAAGATATAATTTAGTAACTATTTATAATGCTCTTATTACCTCTAACTAGAATTATAGATCTAGATATATAGACTATAATATCTCTCTTATAAACTTTATAAATAATTACTTCTATATAGCGTTATCTATTATCTTCTACTACTTTTTAATTTCCTAAAATACTTATACTACTTTTATTAATATACCTTCCCTTCTTAGTACTATTAAAACTTACTACCTAAATAATATTAATATAACTACTTTTTATTAATAATAATATCCTTTTATAGTACTTTTTATACTTTCTATTTTCTTAGTAGAACTAAAGTATTACTTATAAGCTTCTTCTTTATATTCCTCTTTACTAACTATAGTAGTATACTATTCCTAGTTTTTATAGTAGTTTTTATTACTAAGAGGGGTAGTAATTTAAGTTTATTAGTAACCTCTTCTACTATATTTAGGCTAGAGGATTATTATTATAACTCTACTTATAAATATATAGAGGTTTTAGAAATCTTACTATCTCTTAAATACTAACTTAATAAAGCTAGTATTAAAAGGATACTCTTTAGTAATTAAAGTAGTATTATTATTTTTAAGACTTACTAGAGAATTAAGAAAATATATACCTTATTATTACTATAATAAATACCTATAGCTTAGTTATACCTATAAGTAAACTAATAATTACCTAAACTTATTACTAAATATTATAATACTTTATATTTATAATAATTTATTATAATAATTTATTATAATAATTTATTTTAATTTAATATCTCCTTCTTTTTACTACTTTATTTATATAAATAAAATATATTACTAACTTATATATTATAGATCACCCTCTTAAGGATATATCCTCTCCTTTCTCTATAAACCCCCTTACTAAATATAAGCTTATTTATAGTAGCTTAATTATTCTTTTTAATAAAGATATTATTTTTATTAAATAATAATAATAAACTTAATATTATAAATAGAAAATAGAAGATAGTATTAAGAACTTTTAGTTTTTATTTAGCTTTAATATATACTTAAAGAAAGTAGATAAGATATTTAGTAAAAGCTATAAATAAGTAGATACTTAAGCTAACTTTTATAAGGGAGTAAAAGTTTAATAAAGTATTCCCTATCTTATCTATAATATATATAATATTATTCTTATTTATCTTAGTATAGCTAGTTTTAAAACTAACTTAATAAATAATTATTATTATAAATAAATATATATTAAAGTATAGTATAGTACTCTAGTAGCTTCTAGAATTTAATATAATAGAGAAATAATTTATCTATAAACTATAAGAACTATCTTAGTTTTTTATATTAACTATTATAATAATTATTATAATAATCCTTATATTAACTATCCCTTACTTTTTAGTTTATTAGAAAAGGAGATAAATCTACCTAACTAAATAAAGTACTCCTCTACTATTTTATTAATAGTAATATATTCTTTAACTCTATTTTAAAGTTAACCTTTAAGTTCTTTATTAATTTTATAAATCTAAGATAGATACTACTATCCTCTATAATAATTACTAAGTTTCTTAAAGTTGAGGTTTTAGCTATTTAGATAAAGGTTCTTAATAAGATCGTTCCTAGTTTAAAAGTATCTCTAATAATTAATATATAGATAATACCTAGTTAGAAGTATATATTACTTAGTATTATAGCTTACTTTATAAATAAGAAGTAGAATTACTATTATATTCTTATTAGTATACTTAATATTATAAAAAACTATACTATAGAGAATATAGCTAGAGTAATTATTAATACTCTTAAGAATCTCTTAATAAAGAGAATACTTAAGTTTAATTATATTTCTATAGATAACGCTTCTAACTTTAAACTTAATATCCTATCTAAGCTCTATAGGTTTATATTTAATAAATTACTACTAATAGTTACTTATATTTAATACTTTATTTATATTATTAATTTTATAGTTTAGGAATTATATAACTACTTTAAAGTTATCTATATACTTATAATAGGTAATTTTATATAATATATATTATATATTAATAATAAATAAGTTACTAAGGATATTATACTACTATAATAGACCTTAATAAAGTAATAAGTTATTTCTACTTTATAAAATATTAATCTTAAAAATTAATTAAATAATAAGATTTCTACTAATAAATATCTAAATAGGATATTAGACTTAAAAAGCTAAATTAAAATAAGAGGTATTTTAATACTTATAGTAGTAATTACTAAAATAAGCTATTTTACTTTTTATTTTCTACCTTTATTATAACTTATACTCTTTTAGATTTAACGCCTTATACTTAAAATTAAAGCTAGTTTAATATAATCTATATAGTTCTTAGACTTTTAGAAGAATAATAAAGATAAGGACCTTAAAAAACATCCTAAATATCTAATTATTAATATAAAAATATACTAAAACTTAACTATATTAATATTAATCTATACCTTTAAACTTTAAGCTCTAATTAAAGCTTAATTTATAAATTATATTAATAATTACCTATTTAGGCTAAATAAAGCTAAATAGTACTAACTTAAAGTAGTTCTTAATATCTCTATATACTTCCTTACTATTATATATATTTTAAGTTAAGACTAAGCTATTAATATTACTTATATAATTACTCTTATAAAGATCTATAATAATTATTTAATAAAATATTTAGGAACTATTAAGAAACTTAATAATATTAAGAATTCCTATTAAGTTTTAGCTCTTCTTAAAGTAATATAAGTAGTAATTATAAAACTAAAGAAGTATTAATTACTATAAGAATAGTAGTAGTTCTTTTATATATCCTTATTATTCCTCTCTCCCTTATTAATACTAAATATATTAAATAATAATATATAATTTTATAATATCTATAAAATTTATTTAAGCTTATTAAAAAAAGCTATTAAAATAAAGTTTACTTAGATCTATATTTAGAACTACTATAAAGAAGTTCTATAGAACTTAAAAGCTAATTTAGATAATACTTATAGATCTATTTATAGTCTAACTATTTTAATACTCTAAAACTTTAAAAAATATATATATT